AACGAGAAGAAAAATCGGGGACGGGATGGGAGGTAAGAATGGGATAATATTTAAAATTATAAATTGCATTCTTTTTGGTTTTAATAAATCCCGATATTAGTATCTTCAATTTTCTTATCTATAGAACTCAATACGACATAATCTATCACTTAATAAGGCATTCCAAAGACTGCCCAGAACAGAGGGACAACTAGGAAAGGGATGCTACTGGACTATCCTCCCCGAGCACGAAATGATTATTGATAATAGCTGGTTCAAAGGACAAAACCGATCAACTAAAAAAGTAAGATCATCCAAAGAGTCGATAACACCATTGATAACCGAAAAAACTTCATTGTCACAAATAACTCCTGTCGAGATAGTCGACATCACAGGAGATGATGATAATAATTATTATTATAATGGTGGTGGTATTCATGTTGAAAGAAAACCACCAGAAATTATTGAAATCGAGGACGATAGTCATGCAAGTCAAGTTAAAGCTCGTTAATTCAATAATTGGCGAAGAGCAACTCGACTATAACCTCTTAATACAAGCATTAGGATGTTGATTAATCTTCTAAACAAAACCATTATATGAATGAAAACTATCATCATATGGGGTCCCGTCAGTAAAAACCAAGCAAATTATATACATGTATGTATATATAATTTGCTTGGTTTTTACTGACAGCCTCCCATATCTTCCACACGCATTATATAAATCTATCATACTCATATCATATAATAAGTAGTACAGTCACTTTGGTAAATTTATTCAAATGAAAAGTGTAAATTCTTGTAATTGAGGATACTTTGTCAAATATTTATGAAACTATAAAATTTTATAACTCTAGAAATTTAGGGTTCGCTTTACAAAAAAGTATTAAAAACATTTATACATATACAAGTGTTATGTAGAAGTGTGCGAGTTTTTATTGTTTGATAAAATTGCTTAAAATAAAAAGCTCTTCTATTATTATCAGCATTTAATGTTAGGAACGATAATAGGAATAAACAAAACGATGGAAATTTCTGCAACCATTTTCACCATTTTCTTGATGAGTTGTTATTGGTGTTATCATTGTTTGATGATTTTGAAGTTGCATAAGATGGCGGTCATCGTTGTTCTAATGTATAATAACGATAAGAGACGTATCATTTAAAGGTTATCGTTATCAATGATTATGCGATTATTTTCGATATTAATGATGTAACTTTGATTATTGGTAATATCAGGAACATCCGAAGGTAGAAGCTGGTTATTGTTACTATGTTTATTATTCGTTTCTTTTTTAATATCGATATGTAACTTAGATGGTATTGAATTATTAGATGAACCAGTTGATTCTGCGAACTGGGTAGATTGTGCAAGGGTGACGACGAGATTCATTATAATATATTTCGCTAGTGTTTTATTCTTAAGGAAAGCTCTTCTCTACCGACTAATAGCTTTATATAAGAATTCTCGGTATGTAATATTGCGTCAATTTTCTCAATGCTACACACATGACAGGCACGGTATTGGTTTTTTGAATAAATTACCAAGTAGTAAGAATCAAAAAGATACGCGGAAAAAGAGCGAGTGGTGAAATTACTGCATGTTAGTTAGTCACACTTCATGCGTAATTCTGACCCCTACTTTATTATTATCATTCTTATCACATGATGATAATGACAATTTACAATTTAACGATTTTTCTGCTTGTTAATATTGATATTATTGATATTATTGATATTCTTGATATTATTGATATCCAGTATCATTCGTCTCATAATTCTTAACAGTAGCTCTTGAGACAGTAAGAATGACCGGAATTAACGAAACGATGCATAGCAGAAAACCACATTTAGCCAGTCCGGATGCTGAAATACATGTACTTTTTGTCGATGTTCTCTCAGAGGTACCATTAGCAATTAACGATGTTTGTTGTGTAGAAACCGCGTAACTTGGTAATGGCTCATCATCGTATGGTCGATTACTACTGTCGTATGAGTCAATTCTGATCAGGAAATTATCATAGTTGTTATTGTTATTCGTTTCGTTATATGGATAAGGTGGAGGTGGTGGAGATTCATTCAAATTTGTCGAATTATTAGTATGATTGTTATTTGTGTTATTATTATTGATTAAATGAACTTGTGATGGTGGTGTTATTATTGGAGGTGATGTTGCTGAAGACGACGACGAATTAGAAATAATGACCGAATAACTGGGTGGTAAATTTGTAAAAGTATTCAAAGATGATGATTCTCTTTCTTGTTCTTGTTCTTGTTCTTCTGAATCTTCTGGTTGTTGTGGATTTTGTATTAATACTGAAGCAGAAGGTTCTATTTCTTCTTGTTCTTTCTCGTTTCCTTCCTGTTTTTTAGATATCGATTCAGTCTCTATTTTTACTGTTTGTGGTGTCTGTCGCGTTGAATCCATGTTAATATTATCGTTGTATATATCCTTGACGATGTCTTTAGTTTTTATTTGTGTCAAACAAATGAAAATTTTTAACATACATACTTTTTATTTATATATTTCACGTTCGTATATATCCCTTACAATAATCAGGCAATTTTAAAATGGACAATCATTCATCACTAACACGGACGACCCGAAAAATTGTGTCCCTTAATGTATTCATTTATTCATCAAAATATTTTACTAGTTTCGTCTTGGCACACATGCATATGCATGTCGATATGCATAATTTCGTTTTTATACTATCTGAAATTTGATTAATTTACTAATTTAGTTAATTTAGTTATTATTCGGTCAATTAATAATTCCGAGACGATCTGCGTATCCACTTTACCAGTTTGAACCTGGATTTAATGAGTTTCAGACAAAATGATGGACGAATATTTACCCGACACAAAAATTAAATGCGTATAACAGAATTAAATTCCTGTAACTCCCGCTACGCAGAAACATCGTTCTTTCGTTATAAATAATCAGCTTCGCTTCAAATAAATAAATTAATTAAGCGGATAATTTGATCACAGGACACAAGATCGGTTTACTTATGACGTTATTGATGATCTATGATCTTATGATTTATGATCTTATGATTATTATCACGCGAAATTTGATAGAAACTATTATCGAAAGCTTTAGACATATTTGAAAATAGTGTTTGCTATTACACTTTCAAATTAACAAAATATTATGAATATTTTATATTTGTTTTGAGCAAAGCTTATTCTACAATAAATATCCAAGCAAGTAATAAAACTTTTTTTGTAAATTTCAAGTTATTAGTTAAACTTGTGATATTATTATTTAGTGGCAAACAACAACTAAAAATCTGTACAATTTTGATTAGTTTTATTAAGTCAATACTAAAAATAATGTATAGTCAATCATAAATTGTACTATATATAAATATAATTTATTGCATTAAAATTTGTCTATAGTATTTTTAATTTATAATTTCTTCCTGATATATATAGTGGCGTCAAATTTTATTAATAAAAATGCGAGTTTTTCGCTATATAAAAGTTTTCAATTTATTTTTTATCAATATTTTAACATGTATTTTTTGAAGTTCATTACAATAACTTTCCAATTAAAGAATGAACTTTAGTTTGAATTCAAAGAATATATGTTAAAATGTAACGTATTTTTATGTTTTATTAATAAATTATAATTAAGATTGCTTGCCGAAATTCCTAGACCTCATATTTGAAATTTCAAACTTAATTAAAATTAAAGCTTCGAATCCGAATCGAAACTTCGGCTCGGGTTTCGGGTTGACTCAATGACTTTCACTATAAACTTTCTTATATCAATTTGTAGTCAAAGACATGTCCTACAACTTAAATTAGAACTGTTTTGATCGTTTTATATTAAAAATAAAAGTTTACTTTGACAAAACTAAAACATTTGAATTTTACCGTTTACAAATATTCATCGTACAGTAAAACTTCTCCAAGTGCACCCTCTATAAATGCACGCACTATATAAATTCTCTTTAAATGCATATGGCTTGTCCCAAGTTATAAGACATATATGTATTTTACTCTATATAAATGCACACCCTCTCTAAGTACACACTCTGCCTAGAGAGGTTTTACTGTAAATGCTATTTAGTTCCATAAAATTATGGTTTACAACTTTAATTAAACCATTTTATATTAAGAATTAAATATTTACTTTGACATAACTAAAATGGTCAAATTTTATCATTTATAAATATTACGTAATTGTAAATATTATTTAATTCCATGAATATTGACGATTAGCTTATATATACTAATTTATAGCCAGTAATAAGATTTATAATTTTAATTAAAGTTAAGTTTGAATTTTGAATAGAAACATAAAAAATGGTTTTTACCGTATAATAGTAATCCGAAACCGATCAGAAACCTCGGATTCGGTTTGGGTTTCGGGTTGATCGGAATTAAAATATATCGATATCCATTTTGCTGAAACTATATTAAAATCTTAATAACCGATCCATTGAAACTAGTTTCAGCAAGCAATCTTAATTATAATAAATAAATGTGTTGTAACATCATTTTATAGATTTTTGGCTACTTTGTTGTGTTTTATTACAACCAAATGGTTATGATCGATAACCAAGTAACGATAATGTGCTTAAATCAGTTAAAATTAACTTATAACGTACAATTTGACTTTGAAATTATAAAAACACTGATCAGCTACGTAATTATGGTGAATGATATTAAAGAGTTCAATAAGCTAAACACATTGTGTTTAATACTATAGAATTGGTTTGACTCTTTTCATGAACAACCATTATTACGAATTCAATCAGTTTATCAAAAATATGATTAATATTATACTGTATATATCAGTTCCGTAGAATTGGATGAAGTGAAATGCCATCGTACGTAATTATAAATTCAATCTACGCCAACCAATCTATATGTATTTGTTCATTTGAAGATTATTTCAAGTCAATTATGGCTGTTTAATGAGTATGAATAAAATCAAAGTATTTCTTATATCTGATAATACTCCTATCCCAATGTTAACAGACTCTTCGCTTTCCATTTTGCTAAGGCTCTTTGAAAATTGGGTATGAATGTTTATTAGCAATTATTAAATATCTAATGTCATCCTAAAAATTTTTTTGATATAACGATAAGTTTCGTTTTTAATTAAAATAAATTAGACTAACAATCAAATTCACGATATCTAACGCTAAAAACTTAACTGCTATATTAAAAGAAGGGATTTTTATTGTCTGTCTCATTTTTTACGCAAACACAATAATATCTTTTAACACAATGGAATGGCTCTTCTTTTCTATGAATATACATGACTTCTACACAATAAATCATCATTATCATTTATTTTCAAAATTTTATATAAAACAATACATAATCACTAATAAAGTGAACATTCTTAAATATTTCGAATGTGCTTAATCCAAAACACGAGAACACTTCCAACTACTATTAACAAACCCATATAAAAACACCATTAAATTATAACTATTTGCGATTAATAATCGTTAAAATATACTTTCATTATAAAGTTTAATTATAGCGATATTTCTTTTGTGTTTACGTATTAGTGAAATCTGATTTAATTCTTCGCCCACTTTCTTTACATCCTTTTTACACAAAATTTCCTTCTCATTATATTTGTTAGCGGCAAAAGTTTCCAGAATTCAAAAAAGATTTTATTAATTATATGTACTATGAAAAATAAGAAATTTATATATTATATTCATTTTAATATAAAGAACAAGTATACTTAAACCATTTAATAAAATATCCTAATAAGATTTAGAGTAAAAATACAATTTATAAAAAATTGACAATAAAATATTTTATTTTCACATAATAAATAAACCATTCATTAAAAGTCAAATCTTTATGATATAAAAAACAAGTTTATTCAAGACCATATAATAAACAATTATATAATTATATTTTTCTTCTTAAAGTTTTATTACTATATTTTTAAAGCTAAAGAAGCAATTAAAAAAATATTAATAAGACATCCCATAAAGCAGTCCTAAATAAATCCACTCTCCATATCTCATATAGTGTATTTCATCAATTATTCATTAAAATACAAATAAAAATATAAATTTGTCACCGCCACTAGGGTTAGGGTTATATATAGGATAAAGAACATGTGGCAAAATTTCGAGATACAGACTATTTGTTTAAAAAGAGCATTTCTTTGAATTTTAGCGTTATACTTTGATCTTGTGATTGTCACCATGATGACAAATAGCATTTAAATTAAAAATATTTAAAATTTAAAAAAATTCATTATATTGATAAATCTACTATCGCTATGATGCAAATGATCCAAAACTATACAAGCAAAAATATTACGTTGTCAATAAGGGAAGCGCCAAATATCAAGTGATTCTTTGGGTTGTTATCGATCATTAAATTCTACAATATTATGATATGTTACGACTCATCTTGATCAGGTGGGGGATGAGTAGGATGTCTCTAATAAGCTTCTTCTGAAAAAAATCACGCGAACTATAATTCACATTAAATGAAAAAAATGGGAAGTCTACGAACAGGCATTGTGATGGATTTGTGGTTATTTTTTTGATGGATCTGCAGGACCCTTAGTTTTTGATGCTTCTGCGCAGTAAAGCAATAAAGTCACATTTTTTATAATACCCAGAATTTTTTGTCCGGTCAACACAATTTATACGGGGGTAAACCAATCAAATTGTGTAATAGAAAAATTCAAAAACATTTATTTTTGAAAAATAGCTTGTATCTCGAAATTATGCCTATGAATTGTTTTCTATGTTCTAACAAAAAATATTCCCTGCGAAATTTTACTACAAACTCTTATGTGCAATATAACCGAAATGCTATTAATGCTATTAATATTTCGATTATGGTTAGTGTTAAGATTAGGATCAGAATAGGAGTTATATTGGACATGAGAAATTTACGTAAAATTTCGCAAGGACATTTTTTATTAAAACATAGAAAGCAGTTTTTTAGACATAATTTCTAGATACAAGCTATCTTTCAACAATAAATGTTTTTGAATTTATAAAAAATGTGAATTTATTGCTTTACTGCGCAGAAGCAGATCTATCAAAAACGTAACTTTTGCTACGTGGCCTTTAACACAAAAAAATAAAAAATATGAAAAAATGTGGAAAACAGATGTCAAAATCTAGCTTGAAGTACTAATAAAAATTTTCGGAAAAGCAATTTTACATATAATCTTATTCTCAGCGCTAATCCAATCCTAGTTCAAACGATAAAATAATCTTTAACGTCAATTTTTTGTGCTCACTGAGCGTGGATTTTTGAAGGTCACGTGATTCGCACTTTTCATAAAAACGAGAAGTCTACGAATAGTACTTAGGAACAGTGCAGGATCACGTGGACTTCAAAATTCTCTCTCACGTGATCACGAAAAATTGACATTAAAGATTATTTTATCTTTGGATTAGGATTAGGATTAGAGCTAAGGATAAAATTATATGTAAAATTGCTTTTCCGATATTTTAATAGTACTTCAAACTAGATTTTGACATCTGTTTTCCACATTTTCACATTTTTTATTTTCTAGTCAAAGACCACGTGATTCAACACTGCCCGTGAAAAATTGAATTGTCACGTGATTCAGATAACATCCTAAAATTATGTACCAATCAAATCGCAAGATCAACGTGCAACGCAAAAAACTATCAGGAATCATTATATAAAATAAGTGTTTCACAATCGTCATGCACTATTTCTAATATGCCTTATCTGCAACAACTCAGACTAAAGTTGCCGGTCATAATAGTTTTGAACAATTACGACATGGTATTTACGACATAAGTCATAATATCAAACATGAATTATGGCAAGCAACTTTATCTCAAACTATCTATAATGTGAATTACAATAGCAAAAAATCTGAAATTCACTAATTCATTTCATAATATCTTCTTAGTTCATCTGAAGTTAAGTAAACGACGCGAATATCTTCACATTCGAATAAACTTGTTCAAGATTATCTATTATTGTCAAGAATTTTATATATGCCATCAACAAATGTTTGCAAAGTATTTTGTCTTGAATAATGATCCTCATGAAGATATCTGCGAAACCTGTGATAATCGTTTGTGGAATCATCATGACGGAACAAGACAAGTGAATATAAAAGATGTATGCCAAATATATTATCGATCACAACGAACTTGGTGAACTCGAAATTTACCAAAAAGCAACGTTAAATAAGGTGTAGAAATTAACATTAACCAACAGCTACTTCTGCAAATCTTTTCTGTAGTATTCACGTATTTGGTTGCATTGAAGGTGCCTTTTAATTATCAAGGTTCGAAGATGATGCTTCGTGGGAAATGATAGAATGTGAAAATAAATGTATGTACAAGCTCTTTTTCTGTATGGAAAAAATAATAATTTCTTTGACTTCTCTTGCTATCAAGCTCGTGTTATGCATATCTGTGCACAGATACTTGAAAGTTTGAACGAATCCAATAAAAAATAAAAAATTAGAATAATAAAATTATTACAATAGAGAATATTGACGCTCAAATTAAATGTTTCTATCATCTCCCCTGCTATATCATGACCGCTGGCTCGCGCTCTTTTGTACCATTTTAAAGCCGTGTCAGGATCTTTTTCAATTCCGAATCCGTATTGATAGCATTCAACCAACTTAAATTGACCATGTTTGTCACCTAATTCAGCAGATTTCAAGTACATTTCAAATGCTTTGTATTCGTTTTCTACTGTTCCAGTTCCATAAAAGTAGCATTTTGCGAGATGATTATAAGCTGAAATTTTGCCAAATTCCGCCGATTTTTGGAAATACATGAAGGATCTATTTGGATTTCTTAACATCTCGTATCCCAGATCATATAAATAATTTACAGACGTAAAGTTGCCATATAATTTTTCATTCTCTGCTGATTTCAAATACCACTCAAACGCTTTCTTTTCATCTTTTTGTGTTCCTATTCATTTTGATAAAAATAACTAGATTATTTTGTATTCCTGCATCTGCATCTACATCTCTTGCATTTCCATTTACCGCTGATTTCAATAACCTATTCCATTTCGATAGCAATAACCAAGATTATTTTGTCCTGCTGCATCACCATTTTCCGTTTTGTCTTCATCATTTTGCGTTCCTATTGTATGTAAAGCGCATTATTTTTTTGGTTTGTACCTTTGCTGTTAGATATTTTAATAGATGTTACGAGCGATTGAGACTCTGTTTTTTCATGACTGACCGATTCATTAGTGTGTTTATAGGGAATTTTAAAATTTTCAGAGTCAGGTTTCTTAATATATAAACTTGCCCGAGAATAATCTGAATCTAAATCTTGTTTTTGTGTTTTTTAGAAGCAAAAGAATATTCTGAATTAGGATCTTCTTGGTTTTTAGAAGCGAAAGAAGAATCCGAATTAGAATCTTCTTGTTCTTTAGAGGCGGAAGAGCGCTGCTTGGAACTAGTTGATTTCTTGTGATGTTTATGCCGGCGACGAGAATATTCGTCGTCTGATCCATCTCTTTTTTGTTTCTGGAGGTATTATTTTCAGTAATTGTTAGAACCGCATGATTAGTGTTATCTGTTGCGGGAGTTGTCGATATAAATTCTGTATTAAGAGCTTTTTTAAAGGAAGGCATATCCATTTTTCAAAATAAAAATACAATTTATATCATGTAGAATGTGAAGAAAAGAAGGATTATTAAAATTAATCTGCTCTATCTACAAGTTCTTTTTATATAATTTTTTTAATTTTCCTATGATGTGCCGGACACATAAGTCACGTTATTCTTAGATTTCCAAAAAATTGCACCCAGGTCAGCGTTAGCCTCTCCGACATTTTAATTAATGCACCAAGTTAGATTTAGGTATCTGTTTTCCGTATTTTTCACATTTTTTAATTTTCTTACTGGGCTGATCTGGCGAATTCAAACATTTAGCTTATGAACAGTAAGCAAGATACTTTACAAAAATGAATTTCTTGTCAGGTGACTCGTTAGAAATTTTATAAGAAATAAAATCCGTTCCTTTTTTAATTATCAAAATTTCATCACGATTACTAATTTAAATATTTCCATCTTCTTTACCATGTAAATAAGTTTCCGGCAGTTTTTGATAAGGTATTCGAATCACTCTCTAACGCGGTCAATTAATAGTTCTGAAAGACCTGCATTCTTTTCTAGATCAATTCTGTCCACAGAGAAATCGAAGAAATCAAAGAAAAACTGAGATTGGAGAGAAACGTAACCGTTGAGCTGCGAAAGGAACTCGTTGAACTTCGAAAAAAAAGGATAACTACTTACTATTAAAAAAGCCAAAAGAAGGTAAATCTGTTAGTCAATATAAACTTTGGAGGCAATGGGCGATCCGTTCATGCATCTATGCGCATAACTGAATAGTCTACTTTTGAGGGAACGGCTTCGCGACGCAGACGTTAGAGTAGTGCGCAGATTTACTTTCTTTCGTTCCGTCTCGTTTTCTGTCTATTTCCTTCTCTCGTAATTTTTTCATTCACGTTTACTGTGAGAATAATCATTTTTTCTTGCAACTTGTGCTTTCTTCAGTCCCTTTTCCTTCCCACTGCCGCCATCAAGTTTTACGATTGTTTATCCGATGGTGTTTGTATTCCTGCCATCTTCTTAAGTTTTTCATTTCTTGTTTTGCCACACGTCTATTAAGATTTGATCAAACGCAATAGCTGTATGGTATCTTTAATTTATCGATCACAAAATCCAGGGATATGTACATCACGTGACATGCGAATATATAATTAAAGATTGATTTTAAGCTTAGGGTTGGGGTCAGGCTAGAGTTGAGATCAGGTTTATATATAAAATTGCCTCCCGACATTTTTATTAGTAAACCAAGATAGGTTTAAGCATCTGTTTTCCGTTATTTTTCATATTTTGTTCACGCTTCGGATTTTTCTGCCGGGCTGATCAAAAATTTACGCATCCTTTATTGGTTTGTGTTTCGGACTGATTATCGGCTTTAACAATAAGAAATGAATATTTGTTTATGAAACTCATGAATGATTCATTTCATGCGAGTTTTTTCTATTGTGAATTACTTAGATTATTAGCAAATGATTAGAAAAAAATTATAACTCATAAATATATAATACAAGCTTGAATATCTATTATATTTTACATTATATATTTCTAAAGTGAGCGCCATTTATCAGGTGATTTCATTTATTATAGAGACACCCATCTGATCAAAATGAGTCATATCATAATCTTGTAAAGCCTGATGATCAGCAAAACCCAAGGAATCACCTGATTTCTGGCGCTCCTCTAATTAAATTATTATTGTCCTACTTTCACAAACTATTTCGTCTTCTAATCCGTCCCCTCTTCAATCCAGCAGCTTTCTCATCCAAAATCGACTTCAACTTGCCTTCCTCTTTGAACTTTTTCAGCATTTCCTTACCAGCTTTATACCCAACTTCGAAAATCTCAGAGAACTTTGAAAACTCCAACGTGGCGTACTGTTGAACAGGCATCGGCATGTACAGACATCCGGGTGTTGCTATCGCATCTTCTAAAGTTTTCACGCTAGACACATAAGCAAGTCGTGATTGTATATCGGCCATGGTGGGGATTTTTTGTTGGCGTCGGAACGGATTAAAACGGTTCAACAGAACCCACCAACCGGAAATTGAGTCGCCGTAGTAGACTGGTGATGTGTCGTCGTGGCTTGCTACGTCTACAGCAAATATTGTGTCTGCGCCCATTGATTTCATTACGCTTACCTTTAGAATAAATGTATTTTAGTAAGAGTGGCATATTAATGAAATCATATACATTGAATTTAGTACTGACCGGCAAATTATTCATGTATCCACCATCAACTAATAAATGCCCATTGTCACAAAGTGGTGGAAGAAATGCAGCCAACGACATGGAGGCTCGGACATATCGCCATGCGTAGCCACTTTGATGTACTTCCATTCTTGACCATGTGATATTCGTGGTAATACAATAATAAGAAAGCCAAAAATCCTCGATTTGTGTATCAAAGAAAGATTTCCATATTGAACGGTTAAATTCGTGTCCTTTGATACAAAAGAATAACTATTAACTTACTAGAAAAATACCAAGCATATCGAATAAACTATCAAATATTTACCTGTAAACCAAGCTGTCACTGGATATGTTAAATCTAAAGCTTGTCTCCATTTACTGCTCATCCTCGACGAAAAAGCCTTAGCTCTTCCAAGTATTGCTACATTATCTGAATCACGTGCGTATAGTCCTCCAACAAATGACCCAATACTAGTCCCGCCTACCATATCAATAGGGATACCTGCTTCTTCGAGAGCACGTATAACACCAATATGCGCAATACCACGAGCTCCACCACCTCCAAGCACAAGTCCTACAGATTTTCCACAGAGACGTCGTGCTAATCGGGAGAAATCGCTTCGATTACCCGTGTATATAGTAGGTGACCTTTTTGAAATTCGTTCAGGATAATATCTTGATAATTGATCACGAAGACTCATTAATATTAATGAGTTTTGACTGGATTGTTCTCTCAACATTGTTGGCTTTTCGACTAATGCCATCTGGACATGATGATGTGCATGTATCCATAAACGATTCTACTCGAGAAATAAAAAAATTAGATTGAATATAATTTACGAATTACAATTTTTTATTTAAGAAAAATTTCCTACTTTTAGCCATTGACGCGTAGTACCAGGTGAACAATACCTTTCAGCATGTAACAGTACTAATTCTTTACGAGCCGTTGTTTTCGCATTTATTAGAACTTGCTCATACTCACCAATTGTAGGATCACCGTTACCAAGACCAACCAATAAAATACAATCGGCCTGAAAGAATATACATCACATTAAATATTAACATGTGATAATAAATAAATAATTCATTCGAGTGAGATGCCTACTTGGCGGATACAAGTTTGAGTCCAAGAATTATTCGGTCCTCCATCGGCTAAATATAAAACAATCTGGACATTCTCTTCTTGTTCGGCTAACCAACTGATTAATTGTAACCTTCCAATTTTACTGAACGCATGTCTTCCCAGGATAGAAACAACTGATGCTTGATTAAGCAATGTTGCCCTTGCATTTATTTTTCCCAATGCATTTTTTAGTTTTTCTGCAAATTCGTTGATAGGCACACTTCCGTCTACTGGGAGAATACCAACAGTTTTAAGATTCGTGTTATTTTTTCCTAGTTCTGCAATAGTATTACCACGGTCGAATTCACGTTCTTGTTGTACTCGAGTACGAGACGCGATTATTCGAGAAATTTGCAAAGTAATTTCAGGATGTCGTGATGCAAGAGCATTAAATAATGTTTTCGGCATACGGGCAAGTTCTGTGTCACGAATCGCATGGAGTGTGTAAGGACGTGGAGATCCAACTATAAGTAATAAAAGATATTAATTGATTAATAACAATCACAATGACACTTGTAATATAAAATCAAATTAATAAATAGAAATTACGTACTCATGACTTCTAACTCTCCGACACTTTGTCCTTGCCCATATTCACCCAAAATATCAATAGCACCTTTTTCGCGTTCATTAATAGCTCGAACACGTCCATTCAATACGATATGTATTGAATCACTTGGATCGCCTTTAGAATATAATACTTGACCAGCATTAATCTGGATCCAATCCAGAGCAAAATCAATATGAAGAACTAAAAGATTAAATTGTAAATCAGAAAAATTGTAACTACAAGTCAACATTATCTATTAAATGAAACTTACGAAGTGGCGATAATAAACTAATTAATCGTTTGGCCAAAGTCAATAAAACATTTGGGTTTTTCTCCATGAGTCTATTCAGTGAACTCTTTGAAAGAAATCCGACATAAGTATTTGTGCTAGCTCTAATATTAACAAATGAAGGAAAGCCAGTCAATGCTGCCAGGTATCCTGCGAGTCCACCAGGTTTTATCATAAATAAAGTTCTATCGGTATTGGATGACACATTAGAAATAGATTCCTTTCTTTTGTGCGAACTGCCATTCTGATTAACAGAATTATTTGTTAGGGAGCCCCCGAAAAAATTTTTATCATTTGCGCTAACAGAGACGTCTAAAAGTCCATCAATTACGAAAAACAATCCCACGTTTCTTTCACCCTCTTTAACAAGGGATGCGCCTTTTGCATAAAATAATATCTCCACATCATTATCGAATTCGCTTGTAATCGAGGAAATAGTCTCAGCGACTGATTCATCATCCGGAATGTCAAGTAGCGATGTCATGCTACTTATAGGGTTGAATCCGGAAGTTTGAGAAACGCTCGAATCAAAGGAATTATGACGAGAACATGGATCAAAAGTACTAGTCTTTTTTTGAGCGGGCTGAATCAAACCAATACTTTTCGAAATACATTCCAATACGGATTCACGTAAATATATATCATCCTGAGCATCATAATCTCGTCCAACCAATGGGGAAGGACGGACGTAAGTTCGCACTGGTGGTGATAAATACTTATCATTGGAATATTTATTCGAATTCTCAACGTTAGATCCGGTATTAGTTTCGTTTTCGAAAAAGTATCCAGGTCTTATGCTTGTTCCTTTTGACTTTTTATTTTTATATAATAGTCCACTATCGCTTAATTCAGGATCATCGTTATATTTTTTTGCACCGCCAACAAATTTTCGACGTAGACGCTCCATACTGCCTGGTCTGAAGAAATTAGATGGAAGTCCGTAACTTGCTATCTCATTCATCAGTTTTTCAGTTCTAAGCAAGTCTTTTGTAAGACCAAGATATTTATACCCAGTCCAAAAAGTGACACGTTGAAATCTCGTTAAGATCACTTGCACGATATGAGCAACCGATTTAGGAAATTTCTCTGTTAATCGATGAAACGCTTCAGCAGGAATTACTGCCAATGTTGTATCAATGGTAGCACGCACAACAATATTTGGGTGAACAGAAGTTGTGACGAGATTCTCTTTTACAGAAAGTTTTTGCACGATTTTAGGCCTTCTATTACTATTATTAGGCCAATTTGTGTGATTTGCTGATGCGCCACTATTTGATCCTGTCAAAACTGGTTTCTTTTTTGGTGATTTGTCAGTAATATTATCAGCATCCGAAACTGAAAATGTGGTTGACCAGTCCTCAGACATTGAACGAGATTCCGATTCACTGTCTTCCGTTTCTTTTCTTTTATCATCTGGTAATTCTGATTCATTTTCATCGTATCGAAGTTCAATATCATCAGTGAACAACGATAATATAGTGAAAAGGCTAGATAGTGTTCCTCCTTCACCAACTTCATTTAGCAACTGATACCCGCGATTACAATCATCACTTTCAAATGGATCAATGATGTCTCCCTCGTTTGCCGTTTTCACAAACACTTGCACGTATCCATCCACAACAATATAAAAAGACCTTTCCTTCTCCAAATCAAGCGTATCACCCGCCAATAATCGTTTAGTCTGCAGGTTTCTAGCCAATTCATGAAATACCGGTTTCTCTAAATACCCAAAAACTTTAATCGCCTCCAAAAATCTACTCAGTAGCTCATCGGGATAATTCTTTATTTTTTCTTTATCGTCAGCTACGTCCGGATGTAAATCAAATGAAGCGCCTGTAGCTTGAGGAGCTTCCTTTGGAAGTCGCGAGTATATGGTTAAAATGCGATATCGAATGATTGTGTAAACTACCACAGATAGTGCTCCAAATAGTAAGAGTAATGAGGTGAAGTTTAGTTGTAACGTGAATGACCATGAGAGTATGGTGAATATCCAGGTGGGCAATGTTATAGTCACGAAGGAAACCAGGAAGAAAAACCAACTAGGTAAAGTGACGAAAATGAACACGAAAAACGTGTAAATAATTCCTTCGGGTTCTCCATTCTCAAGATTATTTGGTGGTAGTTGTATCTCGTTCATGTGATGGTAAAATATACAAGAATGTAAATGAATGATGAAAGATGTTCCAATTTGATTTTATTATTACATCACTTCATAATGTAGAAGTTTCACACGCATGCGTACTAGTAGATCGTTCGACTTGAATTGCCATCATGATATTTTTTCATAAAACAAACATTCGCAATGCCAAATACTACTTCGCCACGATCATCGATTTCAGAAGGAGATATAGCCAGTTCTGTAGAGATTGAAGAAGATACCTTTGATGCGAATCTCACAGATGGAGGCAGTACCATTCGTCTTCACAACAATGTCGATAATAAATCTTCTACAACTTTACAAGAAGAGAACAACATTGCCTCAATAAAAGGCAAGAACAAAACTACTAAAATGGTGTTATTAACAACCTTTGTGGCTGGGTGAGTTCATATTTGAGATGTGCTACGGGTCTCTACCATCATACATGCATACACTACTCGGCTACTAAAAAGGTTCTGAGTGGGGCGATATCTTCGAAAGTGAGGAAATTGTTGTATGAACCAAACCGCTGTTTTTTCTGTTATGATTTCTTTTTGTGATTTTTTATGCATGTGAAATATTTTTGGCTTTATGACATACAAATAAAATTGATGGTCAAATATTTTCTTTTGATGTGTGGACAGATTGTCATTTACATGTAAGCCTATTTAAATATATTTACATAATTTATAAAATTATGTTTAATAGTTATTACTAACTTAAATTTTACTCTAAGGGAGCGTGGAATTAGCTTATGGTAAATTTTTGTCCTTGCTCTCCTCTGTCTTCCTCGATGCTTCCTAGCTACGTGATTACTAAATTCTCTACGAAACACCATCAGGAACACCATACCTGTTATCACTAGGACTTTCAAAATCATCAACTTCTTTGGTTTGGATAGCCGGGCCGCTATCAGGTATTTTTGTTCAATTTACCTTTAATATATTATTATGCATAGCATTTATTAGTATATGACTCATAAATCATATTCTTATGTGAGAACTCAGATTAACATCAATGATATTTATAATGTACATTCTATTTTTTCAAATAAATAAGGATTAATAATGCAGCCGGTAATAGGTATGCTCTCGGATACTTGTACTTCGATATACGGTCGTCGGCGGCCATTTTTATTGGGCGGCAGTATTGCTGTGATTTGCTCGTTTATGTTTATCGGGTGGACTAGAGAAATTGTGTTTGCTATTTTTGGGAAAAGTGATTTCGTAAGAATTTCAAATTCTTCTGTGGGATTTATGACAACTAAACATACTAAAAATTCGAAAAATTACAGAGTATTAAATTGACCATATGGGTAGCTGTCATTTCTATATACGTATTAGATTTTGCTATTAATACAGGTATTATTAATTATTATGTTTTCTATTAAATTATGTTTTTCATGGTAATTGTAAGAATAATGATTTATTACATATAAAAAGTTCAAGCTTGCATCCGTGCATTAATTGTGGACAGTTTGCCACCGTCACAACAAGAAGAAGGCACAGCGTGGGCCGGAAAAATGGGCGGAATCGGGAGTGTTGTCGGATATTTCATGTAAGAATAATGCATAGCAATTAATTACTCAGTTCAATGAATTCATTAATAGGCCTTTACTTTCTTCATTTATAAAAAAGGGGTTTCGTCGATTTGATAGCAATATTTCCATTCTTTGGTGATACGGAGTTAAAAGTATTGTGTGTTCTCGCTTCGTTAACTCTTATTGCATGTAATGTAATTACTTGGTACTCGGTTAAAGAGATGGTTTACTGCAGGTTTGCAATCTTTAGCATTTAGTCTATCTATTACAACACCAAAATTGTTTTTCAGAATGAATATTTACTATCATATATAGTAAGAAGAGCCAACACGTGAAAAATGTCTTTGCTTCGACCTTTGAGACACTCGCATCTATAATAAAATCTATCCGGTACCTTCCAGCCCCAGCACAACAGATATGCAACGTGCTATTTTTTGCGTCAATTGGCTGGTTTCCATTCTTATTTTATTCGACAACTTGGGTTTCCGAGTTGTATAAAAAAACATCGGCAGCGGGTAATTCACCGCCACTCGAAAATAGTCAAGATCCGGTGGGAGATGCTACACGCGCTGGGTCTTATGCACTTTTGGTGCACTCGATTGTGAGTTTAATGTCATCGTTTACTTTGCCGTTTCTGGTGAGCCCATCTGGTTCTGCGACAATGTACAATGCATCGAAGTTTTCGTGGAAGAGTTACTTTAGATTGCCGTTTCCTTTTCTCTCATTGCCGAAACTATGGACCATATCGCATTTCATAATGGCATTGGCTATGTTATCGACGTGGTTTGTGGTTACGGTATCTCAAGCGACTTTTTTATACGGGATTCTGGGGATAGCGTGGGCTGTTTCTACGTGGGCGCCGTTCTCGATCTTGGCTGAATTTATTTCCAGAGAATCTCGAAATGCGACTAGCAACACCACCATCTCTCATCACGACGATGATAGCAATGCAACAGAATCGGATCAGGTAGCTTATCGTCTAGTCGAAACTACAACTGCGATTAATACAGACGATGGTGATGATGTCGAATTGTTAAACCAGAGTTCTAGCAAATTTTCGTCTTCACCACCATCGTCTTCAGTTGACGCTGGAATCCTGTTGGGTATTCAAAACATTTATGTGGTAGTTCCACAATTCTTAGTAACTTTTTTTAGTAGTATAGTATTTGCCATATTAGAACCACCATCAGAAATATTAACTACCGGAGTGGAAAGTAGTAATAATAGTAAAAGATTGCCAACTGCACCAGTCACACCAATTACACCAACTTCAAATGGTGACGCTATTGGCTTCGTGCTAAGGTTTGGTGGTTTGATGGCAATTATTGCGGGGATTATTTCTATTAAAATATGGAAATAAGAAAATAAGGCGATGCTGATGTTTTTTCTATTTTCTCGTTTATAATTATTAAGATTGATGATAGTATTATTATTATTATTAGCCTAATAATTTTTATTTTAAAAAATGATTAGATAATAAATGTATATATAAATTATGCAGTCTTTCTGTACTGATTAGTATTCATCACGTTTCGTTCTAGTAAGGAAAATATTAAAAAGTTAAACTTGTAACTTACGGGTTACAAAATCAAAAATAAAGTATAGATGTAGATATGGAGTCTGTAGATTCGGAATATCGATATATGTATATACAGTCAGCCCCCGTTAATATCAACCATACGGGACCGGTCATTTGGTTAATATATGCGAAAATGCGATTAGTTAGGATTCAGATTTTTATATAGTCACATGCATCATATCAAATTATATAAATTTATTTAAAAAATACAATTTTAAGTTCAAATTTATTTATACCAAAAAGTAAAAACAATTAAAATTCATATTATCAAACTTTTACAAAAATATTAATGTTATAACATTATCTAAAAACTGAGTCATATTTTCTTTTTCCCAATAAAGAAATATGTTTTTAATAAAGAAATAAATGATGTTTTGTTATAATTATTATTTATAAAATCATTCTAATAGATTATTTTTAAGTTATTTATGTATTATTCACATGTTTCTATTAATTAAAAAATGAAAGAAACTAAGTTTTTATAATGAGAGACTAAAAATTATAATTAAAAATAAGTAATATGTATTCATATTGTAATAAACTAAAATAACTTAACTAATTTGTTTTATAACTTTAAAGATTATAATACAATTTGGTATTTTATTATAAATAGTATTTTATTATAAATAAAATAATTAATTTAGAGATATTTTATAATTTTCTAAAAAGATTTTAAACTTTAATATAATATTTTTTAAAATTTTTAAAATTAAATTTTTAATTAACTTATAACAAAAACTATATTAAATATCAAAGAGAAATTATAAGATAATTACTTGTCAATTAGTTATTAACTTAACTAATATTAACTTGATTAATTAATTATTATTAAGTGAAATATTATTTATATATAAAATAAATATTACTAAAATATCTAAAATATTATCACAGTTGTAACATGTTATATATTGTTATTCCAATTTTTTTAACAGTATTTGTATAGCGAAAAGTCTTTAACAGATTTCTTTTTATAATTATAAGAGGAGATAATGAATCAAGTTAAGTTTATTATTAAGAAAGTTATATATTATAATTATGATAAATTCAAGATAGTTTTATTAACAAAGTTTCTTTATTACTATATTTTTCATTATTGTTGCCTCAATTAGTGCTCTGCACATAAACTATACAAGTATATAATACAAAAACAACAATATTATATAGATTATTCCAAGTCTATAATCAAAATTATACTAAAAATCAAAGGATAATTATAAGATATGTAATAAGTGAATTCATTATTAAGAACTTGTTATGTTACTTTCTTATGATAATTTTTGTAATTAAACTTATCTTTTGTTATCAAGTAAAGTATTACTTATATATAAAATTGATTGTTGCAAAGATTTCTAAATATCTGTAATACTAAACTAGTAAAATCTCTATAGTTCTAAAGATCAATATTTCAAAATATTAATAGTTTGATATCTTTAATGATTAACAGTTCAAAATATTGAAGGTTCAATATATCTGTTACATTTGATATATAATACATGTAAATAATAAGTCCAAAAATAACTAATCAATAAAATTAAATATAAATATTGTTCAATAAAATATATTATTTGAAGTGTTCAATAAAAATAAACTAAATAATTGTTCAATAATATATATAACAAACAAAATATATTATAACAATATTATTTAGCTATTTGTTAATATATTAAGATAAAAGATCAGTTAAATAAATATAATGATAAAAAGTTCAACATTTATTTATGATAATAATATTTCTCTTATATGATAATAATATTTGATAAAAAATAATAATTATTATAAATCTAATTAAGATATTTTAATTGGTTTTTTATTATAAATTAAATTTATATTATAATATAGATTATTTTATTAAGACTTAGCATGTGTTCTATTTTTATATTTTAATTGATTTCTTTTATATATTTAATTTTTTCTTTATATTATATTGATATTATCTTGTATTATATTAAGTTTATTTAGTTTTATTATATAATAGCAAAAAAGTACTAATAGTATTTTAATATTTTAACATATGTTGGCACCAGATTTAAAAGTATAACACTTGGCAAATTAGAATAATATTGTGTATTACTCATAATATATAAAAATGTATTAGATTTAATTGGTTTTTTTTGAGATAGAAATAGATATATAAACAATATATATTTTAGTTTAAAAACATTAATTTATATATTTTTTAATAATATCAAATAAACTTTGATTATGACATATATTATTTTGATCTTTTAATTATGTTATCTTAACTAGAAACTATTATTTATATTTTATTTATAATTCAAATTTATTATTTGCATTATTTATTATTTTTTATTTGCATTATTATTATTTTTGAAATTTGAGAAATGCCAAAAAGATATTATATTATTTCTTTTTTTATATTGTTAATCTAAAAAAGATAGTATTTATATTTATTTTATTTTTAAATTTGTATTTGCATTTTTATATTGTTATCATTGTTATAATTCAAATATTCTATAATATAATTATTTTATTAATAATTAATTATTTTATTATATTTAATATTTTTAATAATTAAATTTATTTAATTTAATTATTTATTATTTAATTATTTAATTATTTAATTTATTATATTTTTATTGAATAAATTTAAAATTATGTAACTTTTATATATAATATGTAATTTCTATATATAACTTGTATATGTGATAATTTTGTATATAACTTATTAATTATTATTACTTATTAATTATTAGTATAACTTTTTATAATTTATTATAATTCTTATAATTCTTATAATTTCTTATAATTTCTTGTAATTTCTTATAATTTACCTGAATTTATTATAATTTATTATAATTAATTAGAAGATATCTTTATTATTCTTTATTATTTATATTATTGTAATATGAATTTTGACATATCACATGATTTTATATAATTTATTTTAATTGGATAATTAATTTATATATGATTTATAAATTATATTTTATATTATCCACATTTTATTCATATTATTTTTATTATATTTTATTCTATTTTTATTATATTTCATATTATTATCATTTTATTTTCATTCTATTTTATTCTATTTTTATATTATTTTATTCTATTTTATTCTATTTTTATATTATTTTATTCTATTTTATTCTATTTTTATATTATTTTATTCTATATTATTTATAATTCATACTAATTATATTTAATTCATATTATTATTATTAGTATAAAAAACATGTGTTAATTGATCTATATAATCAAATTTGATTGATATTAATGGTAAAATTTATGTAACATTAGAGCGAGTAATGTATAATTATCGAGCGAGTGAGTAATATATAACTATCAAGCAAGCACTTTTTGTAATCTTAATATCAATCAAAAATAGCTTTAATATTTAAAGATTGAGTAATAATAACTTGTATAAATATAACATATATCTTAGCTTAAAAAAAGAATCTTTTGAAAAATAAAAATTTTTTTAGATTTAATTTTCTTATCTTTTAGATTCTTAATCTTTTAAACATTAATCTTCTTATATTTTAATTTCCTTTAACAAAATCTTCTTAGAAGTGAATTATATTATAAGTCTTGAGTTAGAAACTTTTAGTCAAGTATTAATTATCCTTTTTCTTTCTTATTTGTATTTTTTTATATTTAAAAAATCTTTTATTTGTAACAAATAATATCATTTATAATAATATAATTAATCTTTCATTACTATTCTGTGAAGTTAATTAATATTATTTAGATTTATAATAAAGAAGAAGATAATTTTATTAAAAGTTTATCAATAAAAGAAGATTACTTAATAATTAAATCATTTGAATTAAAAGAAGATTTTTAAACTCATTTTAGTAGTTCAACAAATGAATACGTTGTTATTTATCTTTATTAAATTAGTCTTTCCCAACTTTAATTACTTAAAATATATAAAAATCTTTAATAACTCTCTCATCTGATTGAAACACATAAAGAACACGTAATTCATACTTGAAAGATAATAAAACCAACAGAAATAATAACAAATTTTTGATGCTCTCTCTGTGGAAAAGAAAGCTTCAATGGTATCAAACTGTAAAAAAGAAATTTTCAAAGAATTAAATAATTGGAAAAGAAATCTTCAAAGATATCAAATACAACAAATCAATTAGTAAACAAATTCTTTATGGATGAATCATCCAAACCAATAAATCAAACTGGATCCAACAAAATTCACTGTTACTAAAGTAAATCAACTTTTTAAAGAATTAAAAGATATAGTAAAATTAAGAGACATAGTAGAATTAAGAGATATAGTAGAATTAGAAGAAAGCCTTACTAAATAACAACTTTGAGATATAAAAAAAACTTCTATTATTATTTAAAGAAACTTATACTGAAAAATTAGTAGTAGAAACAACAAACCAATTAGTCAAATTATTAAGCAAGCACTCATAATATAGTGAAGAAGAAATTCAAACTTATATATACAACTTACAACAAGATATTACAAATTTTGTTTTCAAAGAATAACTTATAGACATCAAGAAAAATTTTGAAAACTATTAGCACTATGAAATTAAGAAAAACAAATTGTAATTCAAAGTGAAGAAATAATTGAAGAAGAAGAACTTCTACTATAACAATAACCAACTCCAATTTAAACTTCAAACTATTCCAATCCAGGAAATAATTTATTATCAACAATGAATAACCTTTAATTCAATACTTTAATAATTAATTTGGATAATTTAGCTGATACAATTAATATTCAAGCAGCTGCACCAGCATTTGCAAGAGAATTATCATTTGCAAAAATAGTTAACTTTTATGGTGATAGT